CTCTCATCATCCCAGATATCTGGAAGGTGGGGAGAGTGGTCCCACTGCTAAAACCGGGTAAACCTGCCAACAAAGGAGATTCGTATCGGCGGATAATACTCCTTTCCCCGGTAGCGAAGACACTTGAGGCTTTGCTGCTCCCGTATTTCACGAACTACCTGACCCCAGCGAAGCATCAGCATGGTTTCCGTAAAGTGCACAGTACAACAATAGCACTTAACGCCATAAACACTCAGATAACTCGTGGCCTTAACCGAAACCGTCCCTGTGAGAGAACGATTCTAGTAGCGTTGGACTTGTCAAAGGCGTTTGACACCGTCTGCCATTCCACGCTACGAGAAGATATAGAGGCCTCCTCTCTCCCACAGAGGCTCAAACCGTGTTCGGCAAATTATCTGAGTGGTCGACACTCGTCGGTAATGTTTAGATACAAAACGAGTAAACAGAGGAAAATAAAACAGGGGGTTCCTCAGGGTGGTGTCCTCTCCCCGCCACTGTTTAACTTTTACATTTCAAAGCTCCCTCAACCACCAGAGGGAGTATCGATTGTCTCTTACGCCGACGATTGCTCGATCATGGCGACTGGGAATGGAATTGATGACTTGCGTTCGAAAGTAAACGGATATCTCTCCGAGCTTTCTCGCTTCTTCACTGCAAAGTGTCTAGCCCTCTCCCCTACGAAATCCTCTGCGACCTTGTTCACCACCTGGGCAAAGGAGGCCAGGCCGCAACAAGGTCCTCAAGTCGCTAGCCGGCAGTACTTGAGGCAAAGACAAAGAAACATTGCTGGCAACATACAAGGCAATAGGCCGGCCGGTTTTAAACTACGCAGCACCAGTGTGGTCGCCGGGGACTAGTAGGACGCAGTGGATGAAGCTACAGACAGCACAGAACACCGCACTCAGGACAGCGACTGGATGCCTCCTGATGTCGCCAGAGCACCACCTTCATGACGAGGCAAAAATGCTCCCGGTCAAGGAGCATAACATAATGCTCTGCAAGCAGTTTCTGATTGGGAGCCACAGATGTGGCCCCCCAAACAGACAGCTGCTTGCAGAGGAGCCTTCGCCTCGGCACGTTAGGAGGCATCTATGCGAACTGACGGACGAAGTCCAGAGGTTCATTAAGCAGCCTCTGGACCCGTCAGCATACCGACTGACCCTGAACGGCATTCACAGGGAGTCCGTCTCAAGTTATGTAGACTCTAGACTANGGGAGCCACAGATGTGGCCCCCCAAACAGACAGCTGCTTGCAGAGGAGCCTTCGCCTCGGCACGTTAGGAGGCATCTATGCGAACTGACGGACGAAGTCCAGAGGTTCATTAAGCAGCCTCTGGACCCGTCAGCATACCGACTGACCCTGAACGGCATTCACAGGGAGTCCGTCTCAAGTTATGTAGACTCTAGACTAGTGAATGCCGTTCTAGGCACACAACCACCGGACATTGACGAGACGGAGCTTCATCTGCCTCGGGAGACAAGAACCACAATAGCCCAACTTCGCTCTGGCTACTGCAGCAGGTTAAACTCATACCTGAGCAGACTGAACGCGGATGTGCCAAATGAGTGTCCGGCATGCGGAGAGACCCCTTATGACTCGAAAAATCTCTTCGCATGCCCGGAAAACCCGACAACCCTAACTCCTTTGTCCCTGTGGACCGACCCAGTGGAGACTGCACGATTCCTCGGGCTGCCGTTAGTGGAACTTGACGACAACGACTGAGATATCAACCGATCTGGGCAGGGTTGTTGTAGCCGCTACAATAACAACAACAACCCTTGACTACAAGTGTGTGTAAAATTTTTTATATCGGGTCACCCATTCGAACACAATAGCTCGAAATCATTGGGCAAATAACTAAAGCGTACGATTCAAAATAACTTCACCAAACATATCCTGTGTAAATGAAGTTTCAACTTGCTAAGCAACAACTTTGTAATGAATATGAATAAATCATGTTTTTCTGGTTTATCAACACGTAAACACACTGAAAACTGTACTGGAAAGCAACTTCACAGGCGATTTCTCAGGCGATGAGGAATCGCTAAGAAAATCGCCTCACGTAAATACAGCTTTATTCTTTATGTACGCATAGAAATTTTGAAAGTCCCCTTTGATGGCAGATTTCCCCGGTTTAGGCATTGGGACCACTCTCCCCAATTTCCACACTTCGGGAATGATGAGAGTGGCCATTGGCATATCCAGCCTTATCGCGACTCCATTTGAATAAATCGTTCTGATTGAGGACCAGGGTGAGGTAGTCTACACCCGCTGGACCCAATTTTTTCAACATCAAGATGCATATTCCGTATTGTTGTTGTAACAGCATGCAAATTCCCCAAATAGTTCTTGGGGAACGATGCTGGAGTGACAGTCCTTGGCCAGATATAAATCTACATATTCCATATTTGGAGGCTTTCCCCTGAGGTCTCCACTCTGCAATCGCGCCACACCGGGCTGGACTACCTACTTGCGTTATGGTCGGTCAACGCTTGCCCACACCAGAGGCTACGTTACAAATCTTCAGGTGCCCCACCCACTACTTCCGCTTATGTTAGTCTACCAGTTGCTGAATCTACGCACTGAAATCTCTGATACGGGATTGGCCTGACGAAGATGATCCGCTAGATCAGCCGCTTAGAAATTTGGGCGATTCCACGATGAATCCAACGGAAATGAAGGGGGCTTCGCCTGCAATGGCAACCTTGTTGATTTTGCGTGCATGGTGTTGGAAGGGCGGCGAAGGTGCTTTTGGCAACTTCTCGTTCTGTGTCCCGCAGAAGCAAAGTTGGCGGGTCTTTCGATCGATACGATTATGGGCAGGTGATCCGATGCTACCGACATTATAGGTCTCTACGTTATGCTGTTTTCCAGACCAGCCCTAACAGGCCTGAATACCGAAGATCGTTGTGCTCATTGAATTCACCCAATACCATGCGGTTTTCACCTCTGAGGAGCGCTAGAAACACAACACTTACGTCATATCGATCGATGTGGTGCCAAATATTTTCTTTTTTGTGAGGAGATCTCCATAACAGGTTTTGTAAATCGGCCTAATTTTAAATCGTACGATTTGCAGACCATGCGTCTACCGACATATGTATCGTAAATTTTTTTGATTACACTAATTTTAAACATCGATGTTAAATATCAAACTCCGTACCGTTATTATCGATGTTTATAAATCATAGCAATGCATTTTTACATCGCTACATCGGGGTTACCAATCGATTTAGAAAGGAATTGGATGGTTGTGCTGTAAACTGGTAAAGTATAAGTTAAGAATCATACCATCTGCAAGATCCTGCTTGTTGGCAAAAATCAGAATAATTGCGTCTCTCATTTCTCTATCATTTATTATTCTGTGGAGTTCCGTTCGCGCTTCGTCTATTCGGTCGCGATCAGCGCAGTCAACTACAAATATTAAGCCTTGCGTACCTAAAAACCCAAAGATTACTGAATACTCAAAATTAAGTACAAAAATAAGAAATACCTGTGTAGTAATGTCGCCATAAAGGCCGAATTTTATCTTGACCGCCTACGTCCCAAACGTTGAATTTAACATTTTTGTAGGTTACCGTCTCGACGTTAAACCCTACCGTTGGAATTGTGGTAACAGACTGCCCCAATTTAAGCTTATACAGAATTGCTATAAGTACATAAAAATTAAGGAAAACATCGTAAATTTAAGAATCATGCTGACTACACAAGAGGCAACCGTTGCAGCATCCAGGGCATGTTGCTTCGACCGTTGTCTCGTATGTAGCATTATTGCTCAATGGAATTCGTGTTGCCGCAACCGTCGCATCTGTGGCCAAAAATAGTAAAAATAAAAATGATAAGTTTAGTAATATTTTGTTGAGGGACCGACCGTAAATACTCTAATTAAAATGGGGCTAAACGGTTTTTCACAATTTCCTCTTTTTAATTTAAAAATTTGCTTCTGAAACTAGAAGGTAAAAAAATTTTTTTTCAAAAATTCTTTGTTTGTATGTGTTCTCAAGCTGCAACCTTTTTATTTATGAAGCAATTTTCCCTGTTTTCTCTGCACTCAACTCTTGATATACTTAGGGTTCAATCGCTTTCTCTCCCATTCACTTCTAATTTTCCGTTTACAAGTATAAATTCATAAGAACAGGAATAAAGTGCAAATAAAGAAAAGAAGCAAATAGAAACATTGATAACACATACAAATTTAAGATTGCCGTTAATTTTTCCATAATCCAATGGTCGGATCTAAACCAAATTAGTATGGGATCACCTCTGAGGTACCACCTTCCTCAAAAAGAAAAACTAATTATAGAAATCGGTGAACGTGGTCCAAATTCATGCGGTTACATACATAAAAAAAATATTCCGACTATTTGACAGTATGTACTAACATTGAATACCCAATAATTTTTATAGTAGCACGCACCTCCTTAAAACAAGCGAAGCAAAGATATTAAATTGAGTGCGCATAGAAACGCAATTCAGTAAAACTAGCAGTAGAGAAAATTGCCATCATGAAAAAAAAGTTAGCTTGAGCTCAGACTCAATTTTTACACTCATCAAGTGATAGATTTCGAGAGTTTCATTTCTAGCGATTCCTCATCGGAGTTAGATTTATATTCGAAATTTTTCAGCTGTGAATGTACATACATGTTTATTTCGTTAAATAAAATGTTCCACTGCTTCCACTTCAAATCTATATTGTAATCTAACAGCCTATTTCCACCAAACGCTTAACTGCAGTTAAGAGCACAGATAAGTGCCAATTATTTTAACATGGGGTGATTGGCAATGTACTAAATATGAGCAATTACCCCGTTCGAGTGATAATCTCGTTTTTCCAATGGGCATAAACTGCAGTTAAGGTTTTGGGAAATACCCTATAAGACCCACTTGTAATTATACAGGTTTTGAATACGAATTTGTTATTAAATTATTAAAAATTTAGTAAATTATTTTTATATTATCTCGTTGTCTCGCAGTTATTAATTTATTATATAGGATGTGGCAGAAACGATTTTTATATAATCTTAATCGTATTAAATTTTAATAAATCGTACGATGAAATCCAATTTTAGGTTGCAGATTTGAGAAAATCCAATAAATACTGAATGTATGGCTAAAAATATATTATACGTAGTACTATCACATATTTTAATACACGACATATTCACTTTAAGTTAACGGCCATTTGAAAACCGACATTTTCGCAACCCCCTTTTAAAGTTTGCCGCTTACGAAAATGGCGAAATATCTCAGATGTTGCAACCACTTAAAATCAATCGAAATTTTGTGTATCATGTATTTATTCTATGATACTAGTGGAATAGTCGACCCTGGAAAATCGGCTATGCCCGCACTGTGCGAACGAAAAAATCCATTGAAGCCATAGTGAATCGAATTCATAAAAATCCGCTGCGCAAGCAGAAAATCATACAGCGTGACGCACAACATAAAACGTGAGTTAGGACTTAGCGGATACAAGAGACACACTGGGCACTCCAATATTTGAAACAGTCACAAATGATTAATGTTTACTAACGAAACAATGTTTAATTGTTGATGAATCGTTCAATAAGCAGAACGATAAGGTGTATGCTCTGTCAATATGACATGCGCCCGAACTCGTTCCGACTGGTCAACGTGGCCTAAACCTTCTGTGATGCTTTCAAAAAGACTCCGCTCCACCTCAAAATCTACACAAAATTATGCTTCCAATTTCACTTTCAGACTCAATCGATTGGACTATGACTCGACATTCAAGTTTTGAATCTTTGAATCTCGCCCTTGTCCGAGCAGTGGAAAATTTCCCGTTGCATGGGGTGCCCACTGTAATCGAGTGGTCACTAAGCCGACTTTGCCGCTGCTAGAAAGCAAATGGAGACCATTTTGATATGATTTTCTACAAACTTTAGCCATTGGGTTATACAATAAATAAAAAAATAAGGTCTGCTAAATATATTTTTAGAGTTTTTATTTTATTAGCCAAATACCATCTACCAAAACATGTGCTAGTACCAAGTAAATATTTAACTATCTGAAATAATAATCTCTCTTTCTATTAAAATTTTTGTACTGTAATCTTGTCATTTTACCACATTTATATAAACTCGCTTTGCAATATAGTATAGTATTTCGAGGGCTTATATTTAATACCCTCTATCTGCAATTTTCACAAAAACTAGTTAGTGATGTTAGAACCCTTCTGGGACTCACTGATGTTAATTCTGACTTTGCAATTTTATATTAAATTCTTTTATCAAGCGTTATACAAAGTCAGCATTAATATCACCGGTGACAGTTAAGTCTTAAGTGGATTTTTATATCAGAATCTTATAGAGGGTATTGAATATATGCCCTCGATTTACTATAATAAAAATTTCTATAGAAAGTTTCAACTAAGACACACCAAAGAACATAGAAACAACATTTTAAGGTAGTATAAAATGTTTTAATTATTTCCTACTTTTACTCCATTTGTGCATACTATTTCAAAAGAAGTGTAGGGGAAACTATATAGTTACAGGATTTTAAGCCTGAATATATGTTTATATCGGCAGCTCCCTACAAGCACATTTATATTAGAACTTATACATAAATAAATAAATCTCGTAAATGAGGAAAGTTCCTACAAGGGTTGTAGTGATTTTTTGAATAGATTAAAACACCTAGGCCCACTTGCAGAACAGCAGGTTATCTATTTAACTCGAAGATTACAGGTTAAATTGGTAAATTGGCTTGCAAAATCAATGGTTAGGAGTAAAATTAGAGTCAGATCGTTAAATATTTAGCCCAGCAATTTTCGAAGGTTAACTTTCTAACTCTAGATATCAATTTTGTCGGTAGCAAGAAAAAATAAATTGAGATTTCAAAAATTCTTTTGAAAACATACTGTGGTGGAAAAATAAACATTTTAACAAATTCTTTTCCTATTTTTCTTTGTTTATTTAATATTTGTTATTTTTTCATTCTAAAAAATCTGATGAAAAAGTTTAAAATTTAGATGCAATTTTGCCGAATTTTTATAATTTTTGCACAAAGTTTGAAATATGAATTTATATGGTTTTTGTTAGATAATGAGCTATACTTTTATAAAAAAAAATAATAAATATTAAATATTAAATAAACAAAAGAAAAACAGGAAAAATTTGTTAAAATATCGTGTTGCTATTTATTTTTCCACCACTGTAGTGGTCAATCCAATTAAGAGAACTCTCAGCAGTGTTTGAAATTTTATATTCAAATTCTGATAAGATATATAAACAAACGTCAAAAGAGAGAGCGGTGCCTATTTAATTTAGAGATCCCTCGGGTTTCTTAACTGTGGGTCAGTTTTCAATGCTGCAAGATATTGTCTGGTTTAGGAATATAACAATTTAACTCGGAGCTACTTAACTCTGTATTTATATATTTAACTCTGGATGTTCTGCAAGTGGGCCTAATTGTATTATAGTCGTGTTAGTGCCTGCTCTTTCGCTTAAGCTAGGATCCCACTATCGGCGCAAATGCCACAAAATGTACCGATTTTCATCGTACTTGATTGGTACATATTTCAAAAATTTTGACAGCTATGTTTTGAATGGTCCCGTTGTCATCACATATTGTGACATACTTTTTCGGTACATATCGGTCAAATTAAGTATACGACGATAATCATTACAACATGATCACACCATCGTGAATCAACTTGAAAAGGAATCAAAGTGATTTTTGGTTAATATTAACAATGCCTTGGTTAATATTTTCCACAATGATTTGGTAATATTAAACATTCTTTTGTTTACATTATTCAAGCTTTCGGTTGTCGATTTTTTCGTTTGAATACACTTATGTTGTGCAGTTTACAGATGCTTTTTCATAATTCGGAGATACAAAACAAAACATTTTATTGTCATTTTAACGTGTTGCCTCTGACGGAATTTGAACCCGCAGCATCTCTTTAAATGTTTCAAGTTTCTTCGTCGTTTGATTTGGTTGTGCACTTCACAGATGCTTTTTCGTAATTAATAAAAACCAAAACCAGGAAAAAAAATAAAAATTATGTGTTGCCGCTGACGGCATTCGTACTAGAGCCTGCTGGGCGACAACAAATAACAGCAAACACCTCTTCACGTTCAGCCGCAACTAGACATACCAAATTTGTTTTCAAATGTTCAACTTGGATCACATTTCGTACAATCGGTGAATTAACTATGAAAAAACCAGACAATAACTTGCTTGAAAAAACCATTGTACTTTTGGCTCAGTGTACTAGATTAATAATAACAATAAACAAATTGTCGATTTTGATCGCGGCATGAGCAAAAGAGTGTTCGCATTATCGGTACAGCAATATTAATTTCGGTTGCTTATAGTCAGCACAATTTCGGCTCAGATTACCGCATGTCGAAAAATTGTGTTTGTTCACACTATCGGTGCATAAAATCCGCCGAAAATCGGCCCACTGTGCCGATAATGGAATCTTAGCTTTAGAGTCGACTCGTAATGTTCACACGATTTGTACATATGTACAGATTTGTACATTTTCATAGTTACAGAGAGGTGTTGTTTGGAAAGCTGTTATTGGGCAAAACTCATTCTCGATAAAAAAAAGTCTAGCCAACACCACGCTGTGACTGCCGATGTACAAACCTTGTGATCCCTGTAGCTCGTTTCTGT